CCCAAGGCGGGCAACTCCATAGCAGCCACATACCTCTTAACTCTCTCATTCTTTATTGCTTCTTTTTCTTTTCTGTTATTCCCCAGAACATTCTTTTGTCTTTTGCTCTTCCCAACCCAGCCTCTTTTGTTGAACTCAGAAAGCTTAGGCTAGTGCATTACCTAGCCCAGAGCATACAAAACTCTTGCAAAAAAAAAAACAAAACAAAAAAAACCACTTCAGGGGGTTTAATTTTGTTTGCTTTTTTTTTTCGTAAAGTATCCATCTCTACATTCCAACTTAGACTTACAGTTGTTAACAACTGTTGCTTTTGTCTGCCAAGGAAGGCTTTCTTCAATACTATATTTCCTCAGATAGCTCTTCACTCTCCCCCTTGGTGTGGTTCCACGAGGGCTATCAGTCCCATAATAGCGGCTTCCCTTGAGGTAACTGGCCCTGAGATAGAGACGTGCTCCAGACTGAGCCAATCAGAGTGATCCCCTGTGATAACAGCCTTCATGGACGAAAGACAAAAGCATTTCTTCTTTCATAGATATCTAATTGAAAACAAATGGTATCTATTCCCCCAGTCAGGTGGTAGCCCTATTTCCTCCCAACCAGGAGAAGCCTGCCTGCAAAAACGGTGAGAATCAGAGAAAAAGTTGACATTTGCTAAGTTCTCAATGCAAACTTTTCAGTTTCCTGTGTTAATAAATTCCCTTGCTCCACTTTTAAATTTTTATTTTATTTTATTATTTAATTTTATTTTGGGGGTTCCAAAAGAGGTGTGTGTATGTTTGGTGTAGTTTGGTTTTTCATTTTTGGATTTTGAGTCAGGGTCTTGCTATCTAGTCCAAGCTGGGCTTGAACTTGCTATGTAGCTCCAGCTGGCCTCAAACTCAATATCCTTCTGTCTCAGCCCCTGGAGTCTTGGGACAACAAGTGTGAACCACTAAGCCTGGCTTCATCTAGTTTTAATGATGTGTTTCTCACTTATAACCAGAGTGTAGAGAATAAACTGAATCAGAAATTCAAGAAGTTGTACAAGAGAATCTGATGTTTTTAAACATGGCCATGAATTTCTGATGAATGCCTAAGTTTAGGATACTTTAATGGACCAAACCCTGTTTATAAGAAAAACGCTTAGGGCTGGGGGTTTACCTCAGTGGTTCCACCACCTGCCTCACAAGTGCAAGGACCCAAGTTCAATCCGTGGTACCCAAAAAAAGAAAAATGCTTAAATCCATGTAAAGGACTTGACAATGAGGTAGAATTTAGTTAGCATTTGCTAAATGCAGGACTCAATGTGAAGAGAGTTATCTGGCTTAATCCTTAGCACATGATTTGAGTTCATTATGTTTACCTACTAAATACCTATTTACTCATTTTCTGTGTATGTTTTAATCCACAATTGTATGTCTACCACCTAGCACAGTGCCTGGAACATAGGAAACTAAATATTTGAATATTGAATGAAATTCACCAATTCAGATAGCTACTCTTACTAGCAGCAAGGTTCCTAACATTGGCAGTGTTAGTTTTGTGCTAGATGCTAGTCTAAGTTCTTTTAAAATATTGTTGCAAGTAACTGAAAAAGCCTTCAAGATAGGTTTCTATCGTCCTCTACTGTGAGGAGAAAACTGAGAAGCAGAGAGGTCAAACAAATTCCCCCAGGTCACGTGGCTAGAAAGTAGTAAAATAAGTAGCAAGCTTGGTGTGGGGCTCACACCTGTAATCCCAGTAATCTGGGAGGCTGAGGCAGGAGAATCACAAGTTTGAGTACAGCTTGGACAACTCAGTGACTTAGTGAGACTGTGTCTCAAAATAAAAAATAAAAAGGGCTGGGGATTAGCTCAGTGTGAGGGATCTGGATTCAATTCCCAGTACAGCAAATCAATCAACTGTAGCAACCTAGATCTAAAGTCTCAGTTCACAGCCATTACACTACACTGATTCAACTTGAGTTGTCCAGATTCTTTCTTTTTTTTTTTGGTACCGGGGATCGAACTCGGGTCCTTGTACTTGCACAGCAGGCGGCGAAACCACTGAGCTAAATCCCCGGCCCTACACTACACTGATTTAATTAATTCATTCATAACAACCAGCATTCTGTATAGCAAATGCAGAACTTGAGCATAGATTTGTCTGATTTCTGAGTCTATACCATCTAACTACTACTTTTCCTATCCTTGTTAATTGTCTACCAAGCAGTTCATGAGAGTCAACATAAATGGTGTTCTTGGGATTGTACAGCATATAATCTGCACGACTCTGTGACAATCCTCAATTATGATTAGAAACCAAGTACTGTATCCTCACTTCTAAAGAAGAGTAGTAGTCTGGTGCAATTAAAAAAAAACAAACCTCACGTCCCAGCTACCCAAACCAAGGGGCACATGTTTGCCTCTGGGTCATTGGGTACTGCAAGAAGCAGAAGCCAAGACGGAATTTCAAATATAGAGATACTGTTGAGGAGAAAGCCTATGAAGAAAAAAGGAAGAGGGAGCAAGAGTAGCTGGTAAGTCTCAACACACAGGGAAGTTCTGTGAAGGGAAAGAAGGAAGGAAGATTGGGTAGGAAGAGTGCCTGGTTGCAATGAAGCTCTGAGGAAATCAGGACAGCAGCAATTGCTGACAAGAGGAGTTCAGCACTGGGCACACACAGCCCAGTTTCAGCAGATCTTGAGCATGGTCTTGGCATAAATGATCCCAGAGGAGAGGCTGTCAGAAGGTGCCAGCCAACCATGCTCCTCACAACTCATTCTCCATAGAAGTCTTCCTATGGCTGCCTTACCTATGTGCCAGGAATTAAATTTCCCCAAAGGAAATACAGGGAGCCACACACATCAGATAAGCAGTGTGTACTGTCTGTAACTGTTCCTTACACATAATTAATGCAGCTGAGCTGTTTTTTTTCAAAATGTGTTAATTTGAGCTTACTAAAATTGTCATCTCATTTAGCAAAAAACAGGTTTTCCTAAAGAGGGGTAGGTGTGGCGCTTTCTCATTTATTTTTCTACCATGGACATACTTAAAATGCCACAGATAAATTACCATGGAGACTGTTCTCAAACTTGCAAAATAAAAGGTAAAACTGGAACACTTTGTTGACATGAAAATAGGCAGCCCCTGGAGATCACTTTTTAACAAACTCTTCTGACCTGGTTGTTCTGAGCCCCTGAGGGCCTCTCTGGAATGGAAGGTGAACAGGCAGGTTTTTAGTACGACATTCTACGTGGCTCCAGCAGACGTTAATCCTGAAATAAGTGTAGTTGCACTCAAACTTGGTGTTGGAATGAGAAAATTAAACAATGACATTGTACCTTCTGGCTCTCTCTGTGGTGTGGTTGGCTGTGCACTGCTGTAAACACACAAACAAGCCCAGGGTCGGGAGGCTGTTTACTTTTGTGCTAAGCCTTTCTGCAGGTGTACTCTGGACTTGCTCGTTTGAAAGTTAACGTGCAGAGCTCTTATTTATGCAAACTAGTTCCCCTTACCGCCTCTACCCACATTCCATCCTTTGAACCTTGGGCTGGACAATCCTTTCAACAGGAAACACAAACTTCATTTTGAAAGCCCCATTTCTCTACCTATCTCTAATTATCTTTACCTACTCTCCACACCCACTACTCCCACTGACTGTGATTCCCAAGGACTCCTAATTGATAAATCTGTGAGCTAGCTTTGTTCTGATTTCTGCTTTTTCTGGCAATCCTTTCAGCTTGGCTCTCTCAGAGCTTCTCTCCCAAAACCCTTTCCAAAGCTGCTTCCAACAGTTAAGTGAACACAATTTGAAGAGGTGGCTTGACTTGAAGCACCAGGGGTTGGAGGTTCTGGGATCATTGTTACCTAGTTTCATGACCAGCAACCATTAATTCATGTTTTTGTAAAAGTCTTCGTATGTATGTTCCCTTCACCAATAAATCTTTTCTTATAGATCTTTTTGTTTTATGGCCAGTTCCTTTTTATCACTCCACTTTCAAATTAATACAATGACCCCAAAGAGGGCCTAAATATTCCCTAACATTATTTTCCGCAACATCATTATCTATAGCATTGTTTTCTTCAAGCCCCTATTATCTGCAATTAAATGTTTTCTTGATTACTGTTTCTTCCAAGGACCTTTAGGCTGTAAGAGAGCTGGGCCCCCAGTTTTTTCATTTTCGGTTCACAGAAGATAGTCAGTTTCAGAAGACTTTTGTGGTGGTACATGCTTGTAATCCTAGCAGTCTGGGAGGCTGAGGCAGCAGGATTACACGTTTGAGTCCAGTACGGGCAAATTGGCAATTTAGAGACTGCATCTCCTTATAAAAAAGAAAAAGGAGGACTAAAGAAGTAGCTTAATGTGAAGGCCCTGGATTCGATCCCCATATGGGGAGGGGGGCTGTAGAATGAGAAGTGTAAAATTTAAGCAGGTGGCCTACACGAAATTTAAGATTACTTGAACCTTTTTCATTAGCATAGACAGAATTGAATAATGAAAAACGAAGGGATGACAATCATTGCAACAAAACCCTGAAAGAAGTGCGTATTCTTATGCTTTAAGAATTAAACCTGCACGTATTAATTTTTTAAAATAAAATTTTAAAAACTAAAAACAAAGAATATAAACCTGCCGAGTTCGTGAATCACATAAAATATACATGTATGCGTATGTGTGTACATATACTGTGTGCTTTTTCCCATAGAGTTTGAACTGAGTTTCAAAGCTTATAATAAAGTTGTTAATACTGGCACCGGGTAGCAGTCTAAATATAAAAACCACTGTACCACAGAATTCGAGTGGGAAAGGATTTAGCATACAACTTCTTCAACACACAGGAGTGGAAACTAAGGCTCAAAGATGTCAATTCTTTTGGGCATTTGTACACAAACACAGCAAGGTATCTGTTAATGAGGAATTAACTGTACAAATGCCCTCCACACTTTTGTATAATCATTAATAACATAACACATTTTAAAGGAATGAATGTGGCTAGGTCTTACACCAGTAGTTCTAAATTTGAGCGTCACCACAATCACCTGGAGGATTTGTTATAGCGACCTGGCGAAGTTTCTGGTTCCTTAGGTCTGAGGTAATGGCGAAAGGCCCGCGCGACCCCTGAGTTCAGGCGCGTCACACGCGAAGAAAATTACAAGTCCCGGCGTGCTCCGCGCGCAGCGGGAAAAGGTGGGCACTTCCGGTTCACGCAGTGCCTCTGCCGCCGCGTCTCGACGTGTCACCGGCGGCGCCGTGGCTGTAGCAAGGGAAGGAGCTGACTGGGGGAGTTCCGGGCGGCGGGTGACGGCAGCGACCCCGGCCTGGACCTGCCCCAGTGCGGAAGTGTTCTGGGGTCCGTGAGAAGCAGGAGAGGGAGGCGGCAGCCCGGCCTGCGTGGGGCAAGATGTTGAACATGTGGAAGGTGCGGGAGCTGGTGGACAAAGCGTGAGTATCGGGGGCGGTTGTGGCCGAGCCCCAAGCCTGGGGGTAGGGGGAGGCAGAGGGGCAAGGGAGCCTGCCTTGCGTGCAGGGTCGTCCGCGTCACGCCCCCCCCCGGCACGGCCAGTCACATCATGGCGGCGGCGACTCCTTCCCTGTCCTGGGCCTTCGTCCCACTGGCGAGGCTGGGGAGGGACCGTTCCTCCCTTCCAAACATCCTCTTAGCCCCATTCTGCCCCACCCAGGACTTCCTCTTCTTGCCCCTGCCCCAAACCCTGGACGCGGACGCTGTGGTCCGAGGAGAGGGCAGGTTGTCTGAACTTGGGTCACTGCCCTAGCAAGAGGACTGCCTTGGCTCCCAGTTCTGAGCTCTGCCTCCTGGGCAGTAGGGGAGGTGTGGGGGCGAGGGATGCAGAGCACGGGTCCTCTGTGCTCCTCAGGATGCAGTAGAGAGAGAGACTTTGGTCGTGATGGGGGTGGACAGCTATGTCTTTTACTTGAACCTAAGTGTTGTAGTGGATGGTAGGTCTAACAAGTAGCCATTGCGGTCAGGACGAAAGTTACTCAAATGGAGACAGACCGACCGTTGCGTTTTTAACACTAGTGAAGGTGGATCACCATATACAGTAACTTATTGTGATTTTTTTTTCTTTCAACTTTTGCACCACATTTTGTTTTTGGAGGGCCACTTGTTCTGTTTATTTTAATTAAGACGTCATTAAGAAATTTCCCCTAAAGAGGAAAAAACCCTAGGTTTATATCCTGTTGACCTGCTTTTAACTTACTCAACAAGTAAAAGGACTGATGCATAGTTAACTCCTTTAAGGCTGAAATAACTTTAGTGTCTTATTACAGCAGGAAAATAGTAACATTTAAATTCAGTATATCAATAAGATCTTCTAAGTCAGCAGGAAATAAAGTTTAAAAATTTAACCAGTTAGTCCTCTTCCTTTTGGGTTTTAGTGATTATGCAATAAGTGCAATGAGAAAAACAGTTCATTTGGGTCACCTTCCTCACCTAAAAGCAGGAAATGTTGATGGCAAACTTTTCTTGACAACCAGAAAACGAAATAATTCACAGTGGCTTGGGTAACATATCAGCTAGAACTAGATTTTATTATTATTATTTTTTTTGTTTCACGTGCAGTACTAGGAATTGAACTTGGAGCCTTTACAATAAGCTGCAATCCCCATCCCTTTTTACAGTTTTTTATTGTTGAAACGGTCTCACTAAGTTGCTCAGGCTGGGCTTAAACTTGTGTTCCTCCTGCCTCAGCCACCCAGAGTGCTGGGATTAGAGGTGTGTGCCACCATGCTCGACCTAGAGTTTGACTGTACTGTCAGATTTTCTGTGTTACCAAGAAGGCAGTAGAGTGCCCAAGGAGCCTGCGGGTTTCAGAACCCGCAGAGCAGGATTCAAGCTTTGCAACCTGGAAAGTTATTTAATCTCTTAGTATCCCAGTTTTCTCTGATGCAATATGAAAATAGCTATACCTACCTTAGAAGGGTGTGAAGAGTAAGGGCCAAGGGCTTAGACTGCATATAAAACCCTTAATGCGACATATTTAGATCAGTATACTTCTGAACTATAGCTATGTTCAGCTTTTAAAGTGAGATAAATCTAGGCATGGTGGTGCATACTTTTAATCCTAGCACTCTGGATGGCTGAGGCAGGAGGATCACAAGTTCTTAAGAAAATACTGTCTCAAAAAGAAAAGTAAAAATTAGACTGAAGGTGTAACTCAGTGTGAAGTCCCTGGGTTCCATCCCGGGAACCACAGAGGGAGAGAGAGACAGACAGACAGACGCACATGCACACACACAGACCGGTTGACTCCAAGTTTGCAAAGTAATAAAAAAAATATGGGCTGGAACTGTAGTTCAAGGTGAAGGCCATGTGTTCTGTCCCCAGTACTTGGGGGGAGAGGGGACTGACTCCGAGTTTGAAAAGTGATTTATGCCCTCAGGTAATTATTTTGAGCTGTTTCACAATTCGTATATCTATTGTTTTTGCTTACCAAAAGATAAAATGATTCTTTTCCAGATTCAAGCTCATAGCTTGTTTAATATATTGTATAAGGAATACAATGTAATTTACAGTTTTAAAAGTCAAAATGTCTCTATAAAATTACTTTATTACATCTGAGTCAGGATAAAGGAAAAAGAAACATTGAGTAACACCTTGTCTTAGAGGACTAAATTTGTGGTACTTAAAAACTTGAGGAGTATTTTTCAGAAGACAGAAATCTAAGCTGTATTCCTTTTTATTGTGTTTCTGTCATATTTATCTCATCACTGTGTCAATTTTCAAGCAGGTTAAATTTGCCATGCAAATAGGATGAGGTTATTTAATTTTTATCTTTCACTGGCAGGAAGAAAAGAAATTTTCCCCCAGAAATGTAAGTGTATTACAGACCCACGTACTGTAGCACTGTGTGCACCTGAAATGCCATAACGGAAGTGAAGTAGCTCCACAGAATGACGGCTTAGATTATCAGAGAGATAAAATAATGAGGAAACTGACAAATAGGCAGTGAAGTGACTAATGATTGCTGTGATAGCTGTATGAATAGAATGATGTGATGGCCACTAATTAGGAAGTTTGGAGATATGAGTTCAAATTCTCTACAGTAGAATAAAACTTGTTTCTGCTTTAATGGTTATTGAATAAATAAGTTTCCATCAAAGAAAAATCATTTAAACTAGTATTTCACAATACCAGATAAATTTTGTCAAGTCAGTATTCTCCAGAGACAGTATAGGCTGCAATGGGAAATTTATTTTCTTTTTTTTTTTTAATTAATTGAGTTTATTGGTAGATTTTAGGTATACATAATGATCACATTTATCATGGGGAATTTGTACCTGTACATAATATACCTTGACTTTTATTTCTCCATTCCCCTGCCCTCCTTTCAACTTCTCTTCCCCTCCTTATTTACAGAAGCTTTGTTTCCATTTTTTCATTCTTTTCTCATTTTATTTCTTTTCCCTTCTTTCCTTTCCCCTTCCCTAGTTCCCCTTCCCATTTGAACATGTTCTTCCTATTTCACAATATCTGTTACACATTTTAGTCCTTATTTACACTTCCAGTGTCTCACACCAGAGAAACAATATGATATTTACACATGTGTCCAATTTATTTCACTTAAGAGTATGGTCTCAAGGTGCATCCATTTAGCTAGAAATGTCTCAAGTTCATCCTTCTTTATGACAGAGTAGTACTCCATTATATAAAAAAGCCGCATCTTTATTCATTGGTTGATGGGCATTTGGGCTGTTTCCAAGACTTAGCTATTACAAACTGCTACTATGAACATGGGTGTGTATATATCACTGTGGCGTGGTGCTTTTAATTGTTTCAGGGAGATGTCAAGAAGAGGAATAGCCAGGTTGAATGGAACCTCTGGTTTTACTTTTTTGAGGAATCTCCACACTGATTTCCACAGTGGTTGAACCAGTCTACACTTCCACCAACAGTGGAGCAGTGTTCCTCTTTCCCCATAGCCCTTCCAGCATTTGTTGATTTCTTGATAATAGCTAGTCTTTCTGGACTGAGATGGAATCTCGGCGCTGTTTTAATTTGCGTCTCTTGAATGACCAGTGATATTGAAAAGGAAATTAAAAAAAAAAAACGTAATTAGGGCTGGAGGTATACCTCAGTGTAGAGGGCTTTCCTGACATTGCAAGGCCCTGAGTTCTATCCCAGGACACTGGAAAAACAAAAGATAATCAATAAATGTCATATTTACATGTCTTAGCAATAAATAAATACAGCTGTGACTCAGGAAAACTAGGATTTTAGTGTATATACCTACTCAGTGTGACTCACTTCCAAAAGAAAAATGTACCTTTTAAATATGTTCTCATGGATCACTCTTAAATTCGTTGTGGGTAGCAGTTCTTACACATAATGATACACTTCGAACATTGGCTTTTGAGATCTTACAGACTCTTTGGAAGGTAAGGGGATATTTTCCACAGTTGTTGCACTTCCTGGTAGTATTAAATGGATCTATTTTGCAGAACGTTATGGAACTGAGGGAAAGCAGATAAACTCATAGGATAGCCAGAGTGCTGGGTGCCAGTTTCCTCCCTCTCATAGTCAAGTTGCATAAAAGGCAGCTGTGGCAGGAAAGGATAAATGGCACCACTGCCACCAACTAGGACCAGCTTGACCATTGTCATCTCATGACCTGGGTTACTTTATTTGAAACTGTAGTAAAATTGGATATGTTTATATTTGTCACCACACATATGGTATAAATTGAAAGCTACTGTAGTCCTTTTTTTTTTTTTTTGCAAATATGCAGAGTGTGGCAGTGACCTACTAGTTGTAGATTAAGGACTACTACTTACTGGGAAAGACCAGCTAACCCTTCTTTTTGGTTATAGGGATTAGTATTAATGGTAAGTATATTTCATCAGTGACCTTTTTTATGATGGTGATTCTAACAGTTCTGGCTAAAGTCCTAAGCAACTGCTATAAAAACTGTTTTAAGTTGTTCTGTGAATCATAGCTTGCAGTTTCCTCCATTAGTTATTCTGCTTGTTTTTGATTCCCAGATGTTCAGATAATATAATATACCTGTAGAAACTAGTGTTTTAGTGTAACTGACCCTAGAGGGAAAAACTTGATTTTCTTTTTCTTTTTTTTTTAAGGCAGTACTGGGATTGATTTCCAGCCCTTTTAAATTTTTTTAT